TGCAATCAAATATTTACTGATAACTGTCAGTGAGTCTTTCACATCACTGTGGAGGAAATTTGGTTCACTGTTCTTTGCAGGATTGTTTTAACTCAGGTCCACTGGAGGGTTTTCCAGCATGAACGACCTTTTTAAGGTCATAAACAGGCCTTAAACATACTGTGAGACCTGTGTCCTTAAAAATGTCTACATTGGATTTTTTTTTTTTTTTAAAGTGTGAGGTTGAAATTTGGAAAAAGGTCAACTGGACGTCTCCCAGATGGCCACAGTTCACCCCACAGTACTAGGGTGAACGTGTTACCGGCACCAGACCTAGGGGAATCTGGACCGGCAGCAAGCGGCACACAGGCTAGAGAGCACTGCGTAGCCAAATATGAGCAAACTGTGGATTAATAGAGAGGACACCGAAGTTAGCGTCTTGCTCAGGCCGGAGCTCATTTATTTCTGCATATACACAATACAAATCACACTAGACCATGCATTCTTCCCATAAAATAACAGAGTTCATAAACAAAAATGAAGTTACAAAAAGCATTCTCTCAAAAGCAAAATAAATACAAACTAATTCAAAATGACTTTACATACTCACAACTTAAACAAAACACTCACGGTTAAAGCCAACATACCAAAATAACCCATCTCACATTCACACAACCTTTCCCCACATTCGCGCCATATACGCTATTACTTTTGAACATGGCGTCCCTTGAACGCAACACAACATGGCGGCAGACGACTGCAACGTTGTTTCACCAACAAAAAGCTTTCCTCTTAATACATGTACTCAGTACTGCTTGGCTAACACTAAAACAAACACTACAACACATTTTCGGAAGTCGCAGGTTGCCACTGTCATAGCATATACTTATAGTGCTACGTAGCATTATAGCATTATGCCGATGATACACTAATACTCATTACAACAAAATACCACAAAACAACATCATCACTCTCATCTCAAAATATAGCCGAACAGTTGTTACTCAACTTACATGACATTTAGAACCAGTTCGGTAACATAAAAGTTTGTTTGTCAGTACCTGTGGATTAATAGAGAGGACACCGAAGTTAGCGTCTTGCTCAGGCCGGAGCTCATTTATTTCTGAGCTGCGCATGCGCAGAGCCTATAGCTAAAGTCTCTCTGGTAGTTCCACAGCAGTGCAAGAACACCATCTACTGGCATAATGAAATATAACCAATATAACAACACATAAAAATGTCAAAATAAGTCACAATAATAAACAAAAAATAAGGGGGTAATTGGTTTTCTTACAAAAATAAACATGTAGCTTTTTTTAACCTGCTACAAACGCATGACCGAAGCACATTGGTGAGTCGGGCTGTGGAGAGCACCTGAGCAGAGATGTTTAAAGGATGTTGGATTATACAGTGCAGGTCTAATTGGACTGTTCAGAAATGCCAGGAGAGACTCCTGTCTACAGGAGAGCTGCTGGATCCACAGCCAGGCTGCTGATGAGCTCATTTCTAATCTCGTCCATCCCGGTTTCTCCCAAAGAAAATCATCTTCAGCTCGGCCTCCTGTCTCCAAACCAAACACCACAGCAGGTCTCACTGCCATCTTGTAAACTCTCCTTTTCACACCTGCTGCTATCCTTCTGTCACACATTACCTCTGACAATCGTCTCCACCTGCTCCACCCATCCTGCACTGTCTGTTGCTTTGGATGGTTGACACCAGATACTGAAACTATTCTACTTTCAATACTTCACCTCGATGTGTCTTCTCCTTTCTGCCTGCCGTCCACTCTTAGCAGAGATCAATGTTTTCTGTGAACATGAGAGCCCAAGGTGACTCATACCTGGCCTCATCTCTCAGGCCGTCCATAGTTAATAATAATTACGGTTATAATTATTATCATCACAGTAGAAAAAGCAGTATTACACCCACTTTAACAAAACAATTTCCAAAGTATGGGATATTTGATGCATGACGTAACTTATAGTTAAACAGCTTTCAAAATGTATTTAAAAGAAGAAAATAAAAAATCGGCTGTATGTTCTTGTATGTTCCACACGATGGCGCACTGAGACAGCTTCTTTTACCCAGGCGACGGCTGGAGCTCTTTGAGAAGTGGACCACACAATAAGTAAACGAATAAAAGACGTAAATACACGACCCAAATTTCGACCTTTGGCTCGACGAAGCAGTGAAATAACCGAGATCCGTCTGTAATCCTGTGCGCATGCGTCTCCAAATGCAGAAAAAACATGAGGATTTGGCGCCACCTTCTGAGTTTTGCTAGTTAAATGTACACATTTATCTTAAGGAAAAAGAAACTTACAATTACAAGCTACAAGTATTTAAATATTTTTAAATAAGAGGGTTGACTCATTGAAATAAGCCGATCTGTGAGCGCGCAGTCTCAGAAACAACAAATGTTACCTGTGAGGCTCACCACCCCCTCCTTCTTGGACGCTGACAGATGTCGTCTCAGGACTCCGACAAGCAACAGCATCAAACTCTCCTGAGCGCTCATGATCATAAACTTTATTTTTAGTCATTAAATTTTTTAATTAAAATGTTAGATTTGTGCAGATTTGCCTCACGCCACTGTGCGAACAAAGGTATTTCTATTACGATGTCTACAAACAATTTGTGATTATTTTATTATTTCTTTTATCTATAAATAAAAAAATATACATGCAAAAGCAAGCAGAGTTTTATGAGCTCTGAATTAGACAAATCAGTCCAAAAAAAGAAAGAGAGAAAAGAAAACAGGCAGCAAATCCCCACAGTGGAGAAGACATGACATAAAAATAATATTCAACATTTAGATTTCAGAATAAAACGTGACACACACTGATAATTGGATTTTTATTGAAAACCAATGAATTAAATTAAATGAATATATTAACAAATGCTAAAATAACACTGGGATCCATCCCTGGGAAAAATATAGTAAACTGGTGGAGTGAACATAATTTAACATATGGTGATGGAGCGCCGCGTAACACCTGCATCCTCTCACACTGCTTGTTTTTTACAACTCTTTTCAGGTCGTCTTCAGCGATGGTGAAGTCTCACCGAGGGTCAAATATTTAAGGATGAGGAGGAAAGGCGAACAGAGGCACTGCATATAGTCCTAAATGATGAGGCTGACACGTGTGGACATTAAATTCCCTTACATGAAATGTGTGCTTTCGAACACGGATGAATGCAGAGTGCAAAAATAGATTTTGCAATACAAAAAAAAAAAAAAAAAGATTGTCACTTTGTTCTTATTACACAAACACTCTCTGACCAACACATACACACTGTTTTTTTAAAGCTTTTGGTGCCCAACAAAAGGCCGAAGCACGCAGGTAGTAACCTCACCAGTGAGTTTCCCTCAAATCCAGTTACAGTGCTCCATGTTCAGGTATATAAAACACTCACCAGCACCCTCTGTGACCTCACTATGACACAAACGGCACTCGGCTCACTTTGCACACATATACACTGCACATTCACACAAACACGTGGTGTACACAAGCACAAACACAACAGTAAACAGACACAGGAGTGACACACAGACTGCAACGCACATTAACTGACTGCATGTTTTTCTTTTTAAAAAGAGGAATAAATGGTTTGTATTGCTTTGGCCTGTTCTGTGAGCAGCCTGCTCGTGTCGCCTTCCTCCTCCGGTCACGCAACTACGCATGCATCAGAGAGAAGACGACAGCAGGGAGGCGGTGGGGAACATGGCGGATGTCACAGTGTCCGTTTCGTCACTGCAGTGTTCGGACACGTTTACCACCGGGATCCTCGTTTCCCTGGTTTTCCCTTCTTGGCCCGAGGCTTCACGTTAGAACCCCCACGTGTCTTTTTGTGCCGTGAAGTCCGACTCCTCTTGGTCCCATTTGCCGGGGGACAGGCACTCTTCAGTGCTGAAGTCCTGAGGGTTCACCCCAATGTCCAGGACCTGGGGGTTAGTGCGAGACTCAGCGAGTCTGTAGCGACAAAGGGGAAGAAAAAAAAAAGAAAAGACATTTTATTAGCGGCTTTGGTAAAACTATAGACTGTACATAAAAGATGGACATGGCTTCCATCTGAAGCTCTAAAGATGACTGGGGTGCAGGGCAGAATCGCTGAGATGGAGTCGGCAACGTCTGGAGGAAGCTCAAAGGAGAGATGTTTCTCCTCTGTGCTGATAGGACCCAGTTGAGCTTGCTCGGGGTCTAATTAGGCTTCCTGGACTATTTTTGAGGTTCCACACAACTGGGAGGAGTTCCCCGCAGAGATCGCATCCGGTTTGGGAATGTCTAAGGAAGCAGTGCTTTCAAGTTCCCAGAAGGAACTTGAAAGCACTGCTGAAGAAAAGGACATCTGGAACACTTCAAAGGATAATGTCCATCTTTTGTATACAGTCTATAAAATCTGATTTTCTGTTTGCAGTGTTTACAGATCTTTGATAATGGTCAGTACAGCGTGCACAAAAAACAGGAACATAAAAATGGACATCAAATTTTTAATGAAAATGATTAGAAAATAATAACAATGTGGCCAGATGTGGAAATGAAACAAATCCCGTATTTAAACAACCATAACAATCTAACACGAGCTCCTCTGATCATAAACAGAAGGGCTCTTTTTTACTTCGTATGAACGTGCCACTCTCCGTCTCTGTGTTAAAGCTGACGGATGTGAGGCAAACACTCAAACATCTGTGATGACGGCGTGGACAAAATAGAGGAAACATCAGGATCTGTGGCAGAAACGTCCCTCATACTTTTTTTAAACAGTGAAATGGTAAAAGAGTGAAGGCTTCCTCCTCACTGTGCTCTAAAGTTAGTCGACTGGCTACCGTTCTGTGCTATGTTAATGGTTCCTGTCATGAAACATGATGTGGAGACACGTGGGGTGGTTGATCACGGCTACCCGCACAGATGAGCAGGCTTAAACAGTGAGGTTGACGACAGGACGATGAGGTCACAACATCCAGTGACATGATATTATTACCTGAGTAGGATTCAAAGCTATCCAGACTGCGGCTGAGGGTGCAAAGAAAACATCACAAGTCAGGCAACAAACTCTCCTGAAAGGCCTAATTATAAAGCAACTGGACTGATCCAGCCAGCAGAGGGCAGTGCAGAATCTCAAATCCCAACAACAGTCAGAGCTGACAGAGGCAGTGGACAGGCTGGTGACAAATTAAAGGAAAGCTCTGAAAGCTTGTTGTGGCTCTGTTACTCTGTGTGAGGGCATCTTGGCAGCTTTGTTTAGAACCACCGAGCTCACCTTCAGCCTAGCAGGAAACACTGCTGTGCTGATGGGAGGCTGACAACACAGCGACATGAAATGCAGTGAAAGCCACATGACGGCCTCGATCGGTTCAACAGATTTTGGAACGACACGTCCATCACTGCCCTCGAGCACCGACGAGGGGTGCTGCATCCCTTCAGTAGAACTCTGAGACTCTTTCAGACGCGCTTTTAAAAACCATCACTGTGGGAAATGTTACCGAGTCTGAATGCATGCTCTCACTTTAAGAGTGAGCGGGTTTCTGAGCTCAGTAAAAAGCACGATTATTTAGGAGCATGAGAAAAAAAGAAATGAAACAAAAAGTTCAAGCATTGCTTGTTACTTTATGAACTGTGAAACATCCTGCAGTTTCACAACACTGTGTACTTTGGCTCATTCTGGTGATCAAAATTGGGCCTTTAAGGGAACAATCCAGCAAACAATAGGGCATAAATTTAGCACTTATAGCAGTACTTCTGTCAGCTTTACACCCTTCTTACTGACATCACCTATGGCCATCTAAAAGATAAACTATTAAATAACAGGAAGGTTCCAAAAGAGTCATACGGATGCGTTTCTTTTATTTAAGACAGCAAAATGTCTTTAAAATGCAGAAAACCTTGACTTATCCTCTGAGATTTAGCATGAAGTTAAACCTCACTGACAGCGAAGAAAGGGGAACAACTCAAAGGTGCTTTTTTTTTTTTTTTTTTAATTAAAAATGTTTACCAGAAAATACTTTGACTAATCGACATCAGGGAGACTAATATTTTTAACTACTGTCTAACAAAGTTTATTGATAACACTTTCCTGAAACAGTTCAAATGTCCTGGATCACAAACAACAAGTTTATTTAACGCATTAAGAAACTCTTAATTTGTGCCTGTGTGCAAAGCAGCTACATATGGTGCGTGTGCTGCTCGCCCCTAATAATGAGTTACAGACCCTCTGACCACTAATCTCTGCTGCTGCTGTTTCTTTAATCTGAAATAATACCGAGCTGTTTCTTAATCAGACAGAACAGTGATTAAAAAGTCACATTTACTGTGCTGTAAACAATCCATTAATCTGGAGCTTATTTCACTCCTCGTGCTAAACTGTAAACTGTAAATAACTTCATTACTCAGTGACATCCTCATTCACAGACTCATAAATTGCCTCTAATTTTTTCACTCTCTCGCTCTGACCCCTCATCAACCAGCACAATCAGCTCCTCCTGACAGACAAAGAAGTCGACCTTTCCCTCAGGGAATCCGAACTTCCAGTTAGCGGATGCATCTCTGCTGATGCTGGGAGCATCCTCGTTAATCACAGAGAGGGCAGCTAATGGTGCTAGGGTGTAATTACAGTGTGTGCAGACAAATAATCATCTGATAACGGGGCTAAAATGGCCTCTTAGTGCTTGATTACAGAGACTGAGCCGCCCATTCGCCCGCCACTAAATGAAAAGTGAGAGGATGTGAGGCCCACTGCAGAATTAAGAGGGAATGAAAAGCGGAGCCAAAGGAAATAAACGCAGTCGTAAAAAGCTGAACGAGTCTTTATGGCAGTAAAATGAAAAGCTGTAAACATTTGCAGAGTGCAAACTTGACAGCAGACCACCGCCGCTTATCAGAGAGGCCTGCCGATGGAGCCCAAATTGAAGCATCAGTCACAGCGGCCTCCAGCTCCACTCTGACCAGTTTGTTGATGGTACAGACAGAAGTTAAGCAGAGACAACGGACTTCCCAGTCAACCTTGAACCTGAAGACCTCGTGTTTCCTGTGCTTCATATTCAAGTTCCTAGTTTGATGTACAGTCATGAAAACATTCAAAGTTTCAACAAACAGCCTCAAACTAAACAAACTTCCTCTAGATTTGTGTTTCGAGGCAGTTTTCCAAGTACAAATTATCCTTTCATTTTCATTCCTTCCAAAGAGCTTTTGTTTTTTATAGCAGTTAACTATTTTTGTCCTGCATCCACTTTTTTAAATTTCGTTTTTGGTTTATTTGAACTATAAAAGCCTCGCTTGGTATGCACTCAGACGTCTGCTCTGTTGAAAGTGTCATGTGTAAATGTTCCTGTGGTCCAACCTAGTAAGATATCAGAGTTAGATTATCAGCTGTGAGGGCAAAAAGACTTTCCTATACTGCAAATAACAACATCTTCACTGAGCTTGGGATATAAATACCAAGCAATCCGTCTTCTTTTCCCCCCTCGTAGGAAATCGGTGTGTGGCAATCAAAGCCTAGAAAGGCAGCATGACTCAGGGAGGGTGTCAGCTGAGTCAGGGCCTGTAAACTGAGCCGGGGTGAGTCAAGCGGAGGGAGAGGCAGTGTTTACTACAAGGTGCAGCCCAAACTACAGACTCCTGATCCCAAAACAGCAGCTCATTAGAGCCTGAGCTTCAAGGAAAACCCAAATTAACTCATCTCCTCACCTTGAGAAAGCCTCGTCCAGACCGTCCTCCAACTCCTGCCAGACAGAAAAAACACACACACACACACACACACACACCGGTTAAATTCAGAGTTTTTGTCTTATGAGGTGATAACAGTCCTTACTTATTATACATTAACATGCACAAAGTCTCCTCTATGCTCTCAGGAGGTTGAGTTATGCTGTTTGCAGCCCCACACCCTCGCCAGTTATGTGATAAGGCCCGTTCTGTTCAATAGGCTATTGTGTGCTTCATCACGGCAGCGGCTCGGCTGTAGAATACACTCCTTTGAATACAACAGGTACAGTACATCACTCGGACGCTTAATCACCATTTCCAGCACGGCAGTCTTCTTATCAAGCTGAAACAGCTGAAACGTACTGACCAGCCCTTCTCTCGTCTTACCCATACAGTATTGTTGTTCTCTGTTGCGTGATTATGCACCGTAAAGGGATCCGACTGGGTCTGCTTTGTTCCTGAGTGGGTCAGCGCCGCGTTCGCTCCCTCAGCCAAATCCAAAAGTTTCCCCGTGGCAACCTCTGAAAATCAAAACAAAGTTTGTAACATTAATTTACTCCTAAAAACCACACGGACACCTGTGATGGTCAACAAACACGAAGAAGCAGGAAGTCAAGTGGCTAAAGTGGGCACATGAGGTTCTCCTCATGTTCGAGGCCGAGGGCTGGATTGATCTCTGTGAAAGTTTGTGCTGAAGGTCGACGATGGGCAGCGACGAACACAATCATATCCAAATAAACTAAAAAGCACAGAAGCAAATTAAAAGACGAGACTCTCGTCCAACACAGGAGGCGGTTGGAACTCAAACACAGCTGATGCTGAACAGATTACATGCGGTCAAAGTTTCAAATCAACGTGCTCAGCCTTAAAAATAGTTTGTTAAGATGTCATAGAGCGATCCATCTGTCCATCTCCCACTTATCCGAAGACGTTACAAAGATCTCAGGATCATTGAACTCTCTCCCTGCTAATCCAGAGTGAGAATTGCACCTTTTTCATACAGAACCATGACAACCTGACGAATCGCCACCTTATCATAGTGGCGGTGTTTGTGCATTCCTGGTTCCTGGTGTGATCCTGGCAGCAAGAGCTCCTGTTAGGGTTTCCCATGCCAAACTGGTCCCAGGCGACACAAAGGGACCCTCAGTAGCTTCTTGGGCCATAGAGACATGGTCATCTCAGTCTCTGTGAGCACAGAAGCCCCACCCCTTTCTGTTTCTGAGGGGCAACCAATCAGAAGACAGTTGATTTAAAGTAAAGGCCATAACAGCTTGTTTGTCGGGGGCCTGTGTAGCAGCTCAGTATGAAATAAAAGCTAGTTTAAAATGTGAATCATGCAAAGAATGAAAATATGGAGCTGGAAAAAGGCAGAACAGCCCCCACACTTCTCGTTATCAAGCTTCTAATGCATCTCATCAATTCAGCCATATGTGGGACGTCACTTAGTGATAAGTGAGCACGCAGTAACCCCACGCCTGACTACGGCGGCACTGCTGAACTGTAATGGGATTGGCTCGTAATGGCCCTGCCTGATGATTAATGCGTGTCAATAATGTGTGTCAACACTAATTTCAGTCGAGTCTTTAGGCTAATGTCACCCTCTGAGAACAGTAAAACCACAGTAACTCTTCTAATGGTGGGATATAAATACTCTTCAGTCCTTAGCTGACCTTTTTACTAGATTTTATGCTCCTTAAGGGAAAATGGTCCCGTATAACTGAGTCAGCATGCAATAAGATTTTCATGCAGTCTGTCCTGTGTGTCAACAGAAGGCATTCAGACCGTCTACTGTTATGAAAAAGGAAATACTGTGAGACAGACCTTCACGGGGAGCGGAAGGACTCATCTGATGATTAATGCTGCTCACTTAAAAGCTTATTTATTACTATAGTGAAAGACAAGGTCTGTGAACAAACAAGGTAGAACTAATTCATCAATCAATTACCTGAAAGGTGATTAACAAGCAAACTTTTTTTAAAGTGGATAAATATTTAAGATGATACCAAAAGTTTTTTGTTTCTTTTGATTTTAAACTGACAGTCGTCTTTTTGACGTCTAAGGTTTTATAGATCAGGATACAACAACAAAAAAAAGCATCTATTCTTCGATGAACAACAGCGTTGCAGTCAGGCTGAGGTCTGGATTTCGTCTGGGCCACTGCAGCACCTCCATTCTTTTCTTTTTCAGCTAATCTGCAGATTTGCTGCTGTGTTTGGGATCACTGTCCTGTTGCATAACACAATTTGGATCAAGCACATCTAACTCTGGAATACTTTAAAGTTCACGAGAGAGAAGAAGCTTTCTCCCAGTAATCCTTCAAAACAAGCTATACTTTGTAACTGTGCTGTCATGAACTTTAAACCTTAAGCGCTAACTGAGGCCTGCAGAGTGTAAGATGGAGTGATTTGGGGGTTTTGTTGGCTCTTAGTCTTTTTGCATTGTTTGACCTTGGGGTGACTTTGCCGTGGTATCCACTCCTGGGAAGATTGGCAGCTTCCTGAATGTTCTCCGCTTGTGAATAATCGTTGTCACTGCAGAATGATGGACTTGAAATTGTTTGAAAGTGTAACACTTCGCAGCAAAACCTGCTTATTTAAGACCACCGTTGATGTTTTTCCTCCTTTTCCTCCTTGGCATTACGTTCCCACACCTGAAAGCTTCCAATCGGCCTTTTATAGATGTGCTCACACTTGCAGATGATCAATTAATCGAGTACATTTGACAAGCAGCACCTGGCTGCTGCTTACCCTCGTAATTCCTACAGAAGCAGTGCGAGTTGACTTTTTCCACACTGCTTCATGCATTTTAACTTAGTTTGATTAAAATACATGTTTTATTGTTCAGTTCCATACTTTTAGGACCAGATTAATTTGTATTACACCTTGATACGTCAAGCCCTGGAATAAGCATGTACTGACTGCACATGCTTGTTTAATGCTGCCTATCTCTTAATCACAGCTGTTTTACTTCCTGTTGAAATAAAGACTAAAGTTTTTAATTTGCTGCTTCATATCGTGTCACAGAACTATGCATAAACACTTGAGTGCTGAAACTTTTAACCAAGAAAATGATCATCATCTCCTCCATCAGATTAAATTAAAAGGAAACTAAGCTCTACTTTTAACCTTGTGAAGAGGAAGAGACTGAGAGGCTGATTCATCTCCTGCAGGCAAAATCCCCCAACAATCAGGTTATGGCAGGACGTGGCATTTACAGGCCTGGCGCTGGGAGAAAGTCGAGGGTATCGTGTGTCACGAATAAAGCTGACTCACCTCCGACAACGCCACTGATCCCGAGAGTCTCTGACACGCTGCTAGTGCATCAGCCACACAGTGAAGAGCAGATAAATGTAAGAGCTCTGCTGTCCCTGATCACTGCTTCAGGGCTGGCAGCGAAAACTCCAGAGCACCGAGCTTTACTCTGCTGTGAAATTATGCTAATTTGCCTCACAGAAACGCAGTCCACTGGCAGCTAAATGACCCACCAGAGGGTCAGTAGGATAATGTTAGTCCAAAAAAAAGCTTCTCTGCTTGCAAAATCTCTGCTTTGTTGAGTCTTCTCACAGAGGATCATCTTTAAAGCCCGTGTTGACCATGAAGCGCTGCACGTGCAGCACTGCAGAGCCAAATAAAGCATCAGAACACATTTAGGGAGCTGCGCTTCTCTGACGGGAGGCCTGCTGGCTGAGCAGAGGAGCACAAAGCTGATGTTTTTAAGACTTTCCTGTAAAAAAAATGGCCACTCCAAACAAATATCGAAAGGATCGGGTCGGGACAGGGAAAGGCATGCGCAAACACAACATGCACAAAAATAAAGCATCGTATAACAACATGATGCTTTTCGTGTAATTTATTCCCTGGATGTGGACATGTATGGGATTAATAATGCCTTCAGGTCGTCTGGCTCCGCGGATGTTTAGGGTCTGATTGAACAATGGGGGCAATAGAAATGTGAAATTCTTTCATGCTTTCTAAACAAACAGGGCTGTAATTGTGCTTCCAGAGTCAGGCGGAATAACTGCATGATAGCAGTCCTTTGTATTCATAAAAATGTCTGGGGAATCGCTGAACCAAGATTCAGTTTAATGCATCCACAATGACTGCAGTGTGGCTTTTATGTGTTCAAATTAACCAGATCATCAGCAGCACCATTATCACCGCATGTAACTGCCTTAAACAGTCACCTACTGTTAACCTTTGTGATGTTAGTGAGAAATGGTAACCAATGAAAAGCAGACTGTCATCAGCTGACCTGCAGCCTCCATGTAGGCCAACCTTTGACAAGTGGCTGAACACTCTTCCGTCCCTTGAGGCTACGATCGCTGCGACATGGAGAGAAAGAGGAAGAGAGAAAAAGATGTGATGATGGGCGACGTGACTCACCTCCTCCCTTCAGGCTGCCCTGGCTGGCCGAGCTGTCCGACTGAGAGCTGCTGGCTCCTTCCCCATCTGAGCTCGACTTTACTCGTTTCTCTTTCTCTGAACAGAAACACAGAGCAGGACAACAAAAAGGAAAAGAAAGAAAATGAAAACAGTGCAGTCAGTGAGGACAATCTGTGATTCAGGAAGTTCTAACCACAGGGCCAGAGTGGTTGTGCTGCAAAGAACAGTTTGCCTTCATGCAGCTCAGATGTGGTTAAAAGTTTCACTCAACAAGCATACATTCAGTTTTAAATGTTCACAAATTCTATATTCATTATGTGCAAAGTGAAATATCCCAGGGCGTCTTTTGCTTCAATTTTGATGATTATCGACATGCTCCATGAGGACAGTAAGACACAGAAGGTCACTGCTGAAGAGCCTGAAAGCTGTATTGAAGAATATTAAGCAGCAAGCGCAACAGGAAAAGGTGCAAAAACAACAGAGACGACCGCAGACTTTAAATGGTTGTAAAGAACAGTTGAAGAAATTTGGAGAGCATCACACAAGCAGACTCAGGCTGGCGTCACAGCATCAAGAGCAACAATGCACAGTTGTTTTCAGGAAGCTACAACCACATCATTCCCAACATCACCAATCCTAAACCAGACATTACATCAGAAGTGTTTGGTTTAAAAAAGATAAACATGATGGTTTCTCTGTGGCTCTAAATCCTCTTTTCAGATAAAAGATGCAGTTTGGAAACTGAGGTCCTGCAGTCTGGAGGATGAGGCTCAGAAGCCAAAGTCAACACAGCGTGACCCGGGAGGTTTTAGAAAGCGTCACGCTTCCGTCTGCAGACAAGCTCTCTGGAGATGCAGATTTCTTTTCCCATCAGTAGAGGAAATTTGCAGTAGTACCAAATGTGTCCGGCCTACCAACTTGTCTGACCTGAGAAACCTCGAGGAGCAACAACTTTCAACAGAGCGTATAAATGAGCATATTTTTCAGACATTTGATATTTCAGTGTTG